GTACGATCCTGAAACAGGAATATTAATGAATAACAAATCATGGGTATGTTAAGTTTATTAAATTTCGATACACGAAATATCAGGTCTCTAATACTTCAATTCACTGAGATTATGTCAAAAACATATAATTAAATTATCTAAACAACATGAATGTTTTCATAGAATTATAATGCTCCAGGCGCGAGGGATATTCCTGAAGATTTCCGTGTATACTTACGCAATAACAAAGCCGACGCAATTGCTATCTATGGTTCAAAATGTAAGAATTGAAAATTTTTATTCAAATTTAAATGATCCGAGGTTTTGATCTTTAAAGTACGAAAGTAATAAAATACTCTTATGATATGATATTATATAAAATAAAAAAGTAATTTTTTACTTTTGTATAATGTAAAATTAAATCTCGGATGTTGCCTATATTTGTACCTATGATTAAAAAATTCGTAAAAATTTTTTTAGAAAAAATTTTAAATTCACAAAAATTTAATCGATTTACAAGCATGCGTTTCAATGAATTATTTAATTTGTTTTAATAAAATAACAATTAAACAAATTAATTAAAATAAAAAGAAATTGTTATTTTCGACTTTTATTTAGAATATTAGAATTAGGGATATTTAACCAATGATGTCTTGAATAAATACGAAAATGTGTTTGCAGCGATCAATGAAGCACCGCTTTGTATGAGTTGCGTAATTCCAATAGCGATCCGCAATGCATTGGATTTTGCTCGAATAGATGCAAAAAATTACAAATGGTATCAATTGGGTAAGTTTTAAAGAGAAATACATTAGTATCCTCTAACAATTCAACATAAATCGCCTAACTTCGTGATTCGGATTAATTTCTACGTTTTTGGCAACTAAACATTTCATTGTCATTGCACTTCAATTCGGTGCTCGTATTTAAAAAAAACTTTTTTAAACTTGTTTACAAGAAGCAATTCAAAACAAACTTTCCCCAAATTAGGAAAAACAAAAACAAACATTAATTAAATATTTAAAAAAAATTTAATTTTAACTTATTAAACTTTGATTACTTTTATGTATAAAACGCCATTTTTTTAATTTATTGCATCCTGAAAATGTTTTTCTACACTTTGTACCAAGGGATACCAATTTTCACAAACCGCCGTTTTACTTCCTGGTTAATATTAATTTGCCAGTTTCAAATTGTGGAAAAATGATTCAATATATCACCTTATTCTTGCTCAACTGCGTAAACAACATGAATAAAATAATATACGGAGACACAGAAGGTAACGTTCTGAACGTATTTCAGAGTTGCACTTTAAGTGAAAAAAAAAGGAAATCTCCTTTTTTAATTGATCGTAAGTGGTTCGCGAAGAGTGGACACGCAAGTTATAAAAAGGTTTTTTTGCAGTAATGTACATTGATAGAGTTGCAATGCTTTTTATAAAAGTAACTATAACTTGTAATAGGTTAAAAATTTATTCTGATTTTAGAATTTACGTTTCTATTTTCTGAAAGTAGAAAAACTTACTTTTATTTAAATAATTAAATTCGAAAATTCATGTATTTTCCTGTATATATAAGATATGTAGTTTCTTATAAAATACCAAAATAATAGTAAAATAATATTTAAGATGCTTTAAAATGTAATTCGTTATATTTACAGATGGACCGTGTACTACCGAACGTATACTTCTAAATACTTTAACTAGTTTAGACATGATGGTTTACGAGTGAAGAAATGTAGGAATTGCTCACAACGAAGCCGGTGTTTCAAATAAACTTTGTGTTTGGCTAATCTTTTAATTGCTGTCTGTGTAGAATAATTAAAAAATTTTGTTAATTAAATTTAATTGAAGTATTCATGTTTTGTTAATATACAAGACTTTTATAGTAACAGTTGAATTATAATGATTCGTTTAAATAAATGTCTTTAAAATCGCTAATATAAATTTTCTCATTTACACTATCTTCATTAAATTCCTTTAATCCTAATATGCTAACATGTGAAAACGTGTTCGAGCTAGTTAGACATTTAGTGCTAAGTTAGTTTTTCGAAAATCGTCAGGAAACTCACATTCCATTAAAAGATAAGATAAGTCATCATAAAGTTTTAAAAATTCATGTCGTTATATACATATAAGTTTGGAGCTCCTGATAGACAAATTGTAACAGAGAGCGTCATGAGTTTCAATCCTTAAACAATTTTGTATTATGATACGTCTTATTTCATATTATAAAAAAATTATGTTACGTGCTTCATATCGCTTTAAGGTAATAATTAATAACATGTTCATTCATTTTTTTCTTTTTAAATTAATTATAGTATTTGTACTTCTAAAGATTATAAATATTTAACATTGAAATTGCAAAACACGTTTGAGAAAACGTTGTATTAATTAATTAAGTGCTGCCAAGTTTCTTGTACGTAAAATTAATTAACAGTAATATAATACTTTATTACATAATATCGATATTTAGGGTAATAAAATAATATAATGACATGATAAAAGTAAAGGTACACTATAAGCAAGAAGCAATCCTTACATTGGTCGAGCTCTTTCTGGTTCATGATTAATAAGTATTTTAAATAATTTCTTTTCTCGAATTGTGTACTTAAAAGTTATTATAACTTTTATGAGAATATATGTTATATACTTGCGTGAAATGGAACTTATACACAATTAGAAAAAAATGTATCAAATTTAATATAAACTGCATGTCGAAAACAATCTACTCAAAATTTTGAATAAATTTATCACAAGATGAATATGTTAGAAGATTACACAAATATTATGTAAGAGAATAAATACAAAAAACATAATATCGAAACAGGGATAAATTTCCGAAAATGGCCAAAGCCCGATTTTTATGAATGGACCCCGTGCAAAACTTATGGAAAATGGTTTTCGGTCAAATTGGCTGAAATTTTACTATATGTTATAGTTTTCGCCATGCTGATAAAAAGTTATCATTGCACCAAGTCCCAAAAGTCAATATTTCCCAAGATATAAATGGTCAAAGTAGTGAAATATGGCCATCTGCAGTAGTAAGACGTATGTTATAAGTATAAGTGATACATTGTTATTTATTCACGAAATAAATAAAAATCATTTCGCGTGTCGTCCGAGTGTAGAGGCTTGCGGCGGTTTGCGCGACGCGAGGCGTTTCCCACTTCCCACTCCACTTTAGAATATAAATTAGCTTGTCCAGATGTAGAAATTTAAATTAAATTAATGATTTAATCAATGAATTTCCGTGCACTAAATCAAGAAAAAAAATTTTGTAAGTGCTACAACTTTAATAAAATGTGAATTATCTTCATGCGTTTATTTTTCAACATCCAGAACTTACTTGTACTTTTAAGCAGAATTAAAACGACTCAAACTACAAAAGTTATATGAACAATCACGTTTTTTAAATAGGAATTGCAAAATATATATAATAATAAATAAATAAGGTAAAGGACTCTTATTATAAAACATAAAATAATAGACTAAAAAGATAAATTAAGAGTCAAAATTTGACAAGTTTGACTCTTAATTTGTCTTTTTAGTCTATTAAAATATATATAATATGTATTTTGCATTTAATTTATTGTTATTCAATATCTATTATTCAATAAATAATTTCTATTGAAAATAGGTATTTATTATCTATACTATTATAAAGCAATTCTTATGAATGAAGAGGACCCCATTTTAACATCAGCCCCTGGGCCACAAATACCTTAAGCCGGCTCTGCGGATATTCGGTAGTAGTAGACCGGACGAACACGTTTATTCGGTTATATTTAAAGTCTAATATCTCGTTAAATATTGCGTAAACGCAAAATGGTATAAGACTTTTCGACTTAATTCGATCAACTCTACCTGCTCTAGATAGGTGATTTAATTGGTTAATGATACCCTGTAGTGTTCCAGACTAACCGGAACATATTACATGAACAGGTAGAGCGGACCGAACTGAGTCGAAAAGTCCTCTACCGTTTTGCAATTTTCAACTCAGTTCTGTCCGCTCTACCTGTTCATGTAATAATTTCCGGTTAGTCTGGGACACCCTGTACATATATACATGTAAAAATCGATTTTTATTTATTTCGTGAATAAATATCAATGTATCACTTATACTTATAACATACGTTTTACTACTGCGAATGACCATATTTCACTACTTTGACCCTTTATATCTTGGGAAAAATTGATTTTTGGGACTTGGTGCAACGATAACTTTTTATCAGCATGGCGAAAACTATAACATAGTAAAATTTCTGCCAATTTGACAGAAAACCATTTTCCATAAGTTTTGTGCGGGGTTCTTTGGCAGAAATACACCAAATGAAGTCAAATGAAGTTAAATGCCCTTAAATGGATTTTCACCGACAAAAATTAATAATTTAAAAATTAATAAATATTCTCAGCTCATATAAAATCAAAATTATAAAAGTTAAATATACCTCCCAGGTCAAACAAATAATGAGCTATATTTGTTGTTATTATTAAATAAATTTATTACAATCGATAAAATTAACACAGAACGTTTCGACTTTACAAAGTCATCCTCAGCCGCACAAAAAACCCCAATCAAATTAAAACGTTAATAATTTAAAAATAGGAGGCACTAGGAGTCAAGCGCAGATAATAACTTTACGCAAAAATGTTGACATATATCAAACAAAACTTCTTTATTATAATAATTATGCAAAGGCATAACAAGTATAAAAACATAATTATTATAACAAAGAAGTTTTGTTTGATGTATGTATATTAGAGAGAGAGAGAGAGAGAGAGAGAGAGAGAGAGAGAGAGAGAGAGAGCGCACTTGACTCCTAATGCTCGTGTCTCTCCGAGAGTTTATATACGAAATAAATTAAAGACACAACAAATCCATCTGTCCTATTTGACACTGTTTATAATTACGGTAACAGACGGCATCGTACATTATTGCAAAGACTGGTGTTCAAACTAGCGTATTTATTTGATATGTCCAGAGAAAGTATTTACTGACAGTCAGTAAGAAGACGCGTAAACTTGAAGATGCTTTAACCTGTCCGATGAAATGGTAACGAGAAATACTGAAATACGCATGAAAACGTCTGTTACAAGAAGATAAGGTTAGTTAAAATAAATTTCTACGTGAACACTTTATATTAAATTTATGATTTGAATTCGTTTCTAACATTATACTCATTCAGGATATCATGATACATTTGGTATAAAAAGTATTATACATATATATTCACAGTATATGTTGAAAATGTTCTTTCTTATTTACCAATCGATTTTATGCAAAACAACTCTTCATTGAAATTTTTCTGTAATAATATGCGAATTTATATTACAATATTTATTATAATATATATATTACTTATTACGCTCATATTTTTATAAATGTAAGTACATTAACATTAAAAGTTTGTAGTTCTTTTAGAAGTATTACCAACAATTCTTCTCAACAATTCACTTTTGTATCTTGCATTGCCGTGTGATAAGTATTCGTTATTAGTAAAAAAATTACACAGTATCTAACAATCACTATTTTCCGAATTTTAGACCCTATTCTATTTCTGTCCTGTGTAGACAGCGTTTTTATAAGTACCTTGAAACGAAGGGTAGTTATTCATAATTTGATACGATCAACGAATAAAGATGGAAATAGCAAAAATGTAAGTCCATGACAGAAAACTGTAACATGCGAAAGCTATTAAAATATAGATGCGATAAAAAGTTAACACGAAATTTCATTAATAATATTTTAGAGTTTCTAAATCACTCATTTCAACACAAAATATTTTTGAAAATTATAAATAATAATGAGACTTAATAATTAATAATAATAGAAATTGAATAGGCTACGATTCTAAGCTAGGATATAAGATGCCCTTTAATATAAACAAAATGTAAAATACAAAAGTTACAAAAGTCAAAGTACAAAAGTTAAATAAAAACGTTTCTGCGTTTGTGACTTTTGTATTTTACAATACCAAACTAAGAAGGGCAAAGAGCCAATAAATTTTATTTGGCTCTTTGCTCTTCTTAGTTTTGTATTGTTTTATACATGTAGAGCCTTTTCACTAATTATTTTGTATTTTACATTTTGTTTATCATGTATTATACTTATAATAACTTATATAACGTTATAAATATTTATATATAACGTTTATCGTATTATACTTTTAACTTACAGTTATGAACTGATGATGACCCGATAAGGGTAAAAACGTTTGTAACTTTTGTATTTTACATTTGTTTATATTATAAAGCATATCTTACATTCTAGCTTAGAATCGTAGTCCAATTTCCATGGTTTTAAATATTTTGTTGTTCTTTATTTATTTATATATTTATATATATACAAACATAAAACTAGAAAAAAAAGTTTCATCTATATACCTTTTTTTATTAAATATAATGTTAACATGATTCCTAATCTAACATATTTAGATCTGGCGACAATAGTGTAAACTTTCTAATTAATGGAGCACTATATTCAAGTACGTATTGTTTGTAATCAGTGTGTAACTAAAGAAATGAAAATTTTATATTGTATCATTTAAAGTCAAAGTAACATAGAAGCAAGTTAAAGAAATCAGTTTTAAATATGGTATTAAATTTAATCACAGAAATTTTATCGTATGGTTTAATGGTAAGATAACATTCAATACAAGAGTTAATCATATAATAACATGCAGCAAAAAATTATAAAACATAATTATGAAGCTTTAACTGTAATTGTAAGCTTTAGAAATAAAAAGTAATATGTACGTTAAGAAAAAATTTTACGAGTCGCTATTATAAAATTGTAAAACTGTTTCCAGTATTCAATAACAGTATACCCGCTGACACGTCTCTACTCGTCTTTATCCGCGAATATGCGGAACTTCGAGGCACTAAAGCGATGTGTTATGAAGGGGATTGCGGTGCCTGTATCGTAAATGTAATATTCAAGGACAAAAGTATAGCTGTGAATTCATGTCTTGTACCAGTACTGATTTGTGACGGGTATGTATGTACTTATTAAAGAGAAAATAAACAATCTATCTTAATTTCTAAGAAATTGTTATGAATTTTTGTAATGACGTTACATATGAAGCTATAATCTGCGGTACAAAAAATTCATCATATCTAAACGTTAAAATTTTTTTCTTTACATTCATGTATATTTAATTTATATTTTATGCTAATTTTTTAATTTCTGAGTATACCGAGAATATATTAATATTAACTATTCTTTCATTCAATATTATGTCACAGATGGAATATTTATACGATTGAAAGTATAGGAAACAAGTCAGACGGTTATCATAAGATTCAAACTGAGCTTGCTGAATGGAATGGTTCGCAATGTGGATATTGCTCACCTGGCATGGTGATGAATTTGTATAGGTACAAAATATTAAAATAGTTAATTAAGTTGTATTGTTAAAAGAATGTGTTATTAAATATATATTTTTATACTTTCCTCCCTTTATGATAAAATTCTTTCGGAATTGTCAGGCGTAGAACAAATTCACATATAATAAAATATCTTTAAGAAAAATTAATGTTTATAAAAATATATTAATAAATGCATTCTTGTAACTAACAATTGTCCAATTATGAACACACTAATTGCAAATTAATGTAACGAATAAACTCGTAGAGAATTGCTACGCTTAGTTCAAGTAAAAATAATATTCAATTAAGGATAACACTGTATGTTTGTAACAACTCTGCATTAATGTATTTATTTTTTATACATTGCAGTCTCGGGTTAGAAAAAGCTATGTCTATGGAGCAGATTGAAAATTCATTTGGTGGCAACATTTGTCGATGCACTGGATATCGCGCAATTTTGAAGGCTTTTAAGACATTTGCCATCGATGCTGTTTCAATGGAATCGAAGGCCGTTCACGACATTGAGGTAATTGTGAAAAAATTTTTCTTTTTATTTCGAAGTTTAATCTTTATCATAAATTATGTTTCTTTCAATTTTATTTTATTTATGTTTACAAAAATATTTGACTTTGTTATTACAACAAGGACCATTTAACTTTACTACACACTAATTGCATTGTTCCTATCTGTGTGTGAATGTAAATATAATAAAATATACTTTACAGGAGTTACACAAAGCTAAAGCTTGCCTGGAATACAAAATGCCATGTGCACGTACTTACTACGATAAGCAGCATTCTGATGGAATCAAAATTTTGAGCATAAAATTAGAGGACGCGTGCTTTTACAAAGTTACTACAGTCGAGGCTCTATTTGAGTTATTAAAAAGCAATCCACATGCAACGTATATATTAAATGGAGGAAATACTGCACATGGTAATTTTTCTGTATTAGATTAACTCAAAAATTTAAATCTTCTATCTAATAATAACATATTACCACATGAAAAGTAACTAACATATTATTAAAAAAGGTGCCAGTACAAAGTGAACTTACATAAAGTGTTTGCAACTTTCGACCGATTTTCGAATCGTCTCCGCCTTCCGCTATCCCACTCATCTTATCGCCTGCGAGATCAAATCTCGCTCCAGCGGCATTTCAGCGGAATTTTGTAAATCGGACACCGGATTCGTAATCAGCGGCCCCAAAAACCCTTAGATAGACAAGTTGCATAGAAAACCGATCGTCGGAAAAATTCGTGACTGAAAGGGTTAATTTTATATTTTGATAATTTTTTATTTGTAAATACCACTGATGGCCACATTGAAGGCCATTTGGTGTATCAAGTAACGCGAATGAATTGTTTAAATTACAAGACATATTCGCTATTTCTATCTTGCGTGTATGGTTGAATGATCTACCATCGTCTTTCGTTTATTTTGAACCACGTATAGTTTAGATATAGATATATAACAATGTGAAAATTTAATTTTCAGGTATTTATCGTTCGAGCAAGAAAAATATGTACATTGATATAAACAATATTCCAGACATGAGTAACATTACAAAAACTGATTCGACTTTGGTACTAGGAGGAAATGTAACCCTTACCATGGCAATGCAGGCATTCCAGAAATATTCAAAAGAAAGCGGATTTAAATATCTACGTCAATTGAACAAGAACATGAAATTGATCGCAAATGTTCCCGTACGAAATATTGGCACCATAGCGGGGAATTTAATGTTAAAACACGAGCACAGAGAGTTCCCATCCGATTTGTTTTTGATGTTACAGACTCTCGGTACTCAGGTACACATCCTGGAAAGTCCCTCTCAGAAGCAAAGTTTATATCTGTGGAAATTTCTGAAGCTCGACATGCACCATAAACTCATTTATAGCATTGTATTACCAAATCTTACTGATCAGCACATATATAGATTCTATAAGGTCATGCCTAGAGCCCAAAATGCTCGCGCTCATGTCAACGCTGGCTTTCTCTTCAAAATCGATACCGACGGCAAAGTAACAAAATTTTTTTAAATTGTTTATATTACGTTATCATTAACTAGTTACTCACATTCTAAATCTTCAAGTATCAATTGTTTACATTTATAACATTTTTCGATAAGGTGTTGGAATTACCTGACATTATCTTTGGTGGCATTAATAAAGATTTTTATCACGCAAATCGCACGGAGGTTCTATCGTTGGATAAAAAAATGTTTGACCAGCAAGACTTAAAGTCACTGTTACAAATGTTATCTGTGGAGCTACAACCTGATCATATGCTCCCGAATTACTCACCAGAATTTCGCAAAATTCTTGCCATAGGATTATTTTACAAGTTTATGTTAAGCATCAAACCGGAGATAAAACCTTTTTATCGTGGTGGAGGCACTTCATTAAAACGAAGTCTCTCTTCAGGTACTTATAATAAAATGGTGTCTATAATATTTTTTTTATATTTCTATTATAAAAATATAAATAAATCTTTGCCATTGATATACATGATGATATATTTATAAGACAGTAACTAAAAAGATATAAATTTCGCAAGCAATTGGAATGAATTTATGAACAACGTAACGTTCTCAATAGAGATTTAAAACCTTTTCAATACGAAAGTTGTATATAAATTATTTGCAGAATAGAATTTAAATCCAGAATAAGAATCTTTGCAGTGTAAACATCATTAGAAAGTACATTCCGGTTGTTTCCGAATCGTACAGTAATCTTTTTATACATACGTACATATATTACAATACAATATCTTTAACTCTGACTGAAGCTCATGTAGTCGCACTTATTATATACTAAATTTATAATTAGTACAGAACAAGCCTTTCCTATTTTTATTTTAAATTTTCTTAATGATATTGTTGATTTTAAAATTATATAGAAGTATTGAATTAAGGCTGTCTTATATTGATTTATGTATAAATCAATAAAAACTGCTCGTAATATATTTCTTTTGATTGTCCAAAGTTATGCATCCAAAATGAACATAATTTTTTAGGTAAGCAAAAGTACGATAGGAATTTCGACGAGTGGCCAGTGAGTGAGCCTATACCAAAGTTAGGAGCTTATGAACAGGCAGCAGGTGAAGTCCGATATTGCAATGATCTGGGTCCGTATCATGGAGAAGTATTTTGCGCTTTCGTTGTTGCCAAAATCTATAGAGGCATGATCAAGAGTATAGATGCAAGCGAGGTGCTTCAAATGAAGGGCGTAATAGCGTTCTTCAGCGTCGATGATATACCGGGAAGGAATTTGTGCATTTCTGCCGCCAGTAAGTTGACGTCCTTGCCAGAGGACGAATTGCTGTTCGCTGAAAAGGATGTTTTGTACGCCGGTCAACCGGTCGGCGTAATAGTCGCGGAAACGCATAATTTAGCGAATGAGGCTGCGGATTTGGTACAAATTATATATAACACACATGAGAAAAATCCGGTAATAAGTATTGAGGATGCTATTAATGCGAATGATAAAACTAGAATCAGGGAAACCGTCAATATTCCAGCAAAGAGGAAAGGTAGAAATGACATTAATAATATTTTATTAAATCGTTATTTTTTTTAAATTAAAGTAGAGATAATGTCGCCAAAGCAAACAGTCACCTTAAAGATAAAAAGATAGTACATTGAAATAAAATATCATTTTTTATTATTTTACAGGAACCGATATTAAATACGTAATAAAGGGTGTCTTCCAATGTGGTAGCCAATATCACTATACCCTAGAAACTCAATCCTGCGTATGCGTTCCTGTGGAGGGTAATATGAACGTCTATCCATCGTCACAATGGATGGATCTCATTCAAGTATCGATTGCTAATTGTCTTAATGTCCGGAGTAGTAGGTGATTAATTTATAGTGTCAACCTGTTCTGTGTTAAATATAATTATATTAGTACATTTGGAGTAATATAATTTATACTATAATAGAATTAGAAATTATAACAATTATACAAGGTGTTTGACATGAAATGAAAAATATGTTCGCAACTATTGCGAAAATTGGAACAGGATTTTTCTTCTCAGTTTAGTCCATTCTAGACCTATACGACAAAATTTTTCATTACTTTTAAAACACTCTATATATGTATATATGCATATACCTATAGCAGGATATTCTTAAGCTTTACTATTAAAGGTGTATTTTATTTACATCATGTAAGTAAGGCTAAAAATATAATTTTTACGAATGTAAAAATTCATATATGATACGGATAATATAATATTACCATTAAGATACACTATATGTATTACAAGAATTTTAACATTTACGTAAAATTATAAAATATATTGTTATTGTCATATATATATATATGTATATATATTATACAAATATATAATTTTACTTTAAATATAAAAACATATTTATATATATACTGTTGGAGGTAAAAGTACTTAGTTACTCGAAAA